CTTAGTGGTGGTTTAAAAGGAAAAAAAGGTTTTGGTCTGTTTTCCCATAGGAAAACTAGGTGTGAACCATGTAAAACAAAGAACACACCATTAGTATAAGTAGCATGTGGGTGGAGAAAAATACAAGCACACTTAAGGTTACCTGAAGGTCATGCCCCCTTAACCTGGGGGAGGAGGGTCTTTATTTCAATCTGACACTGACAATGCATTTCTCCAAACCATAAAACTACTTCACACTTTTTTTCTTCTCACACCTCTAGGCCCATCCACATCCTCACTCTCACCTGATGAACCTGCTTCCTGCCTCAATGAGGAAATTAGAACAATCAAGAGCACGTATGCAGACTCCCACAAGCACATACCTAATATTGCACCTACACACTCTGACTGTCCCCTGGGAAGAACTATTTGCTCTTGCCGAAAATCACCCCTATATTGCATGCTTCACCACATCTCTCACTGAAAAACCTCACTCCAGTAGTTTTTCCTCTCCACTAGATAACTTCCTTTGCATTATATTGTTATGTTCTAGTTAACAAGCATGCACACATATTTGTTATTTCTTCCATCTAAAGAAAACACCTCTTTCCCCCAATTTTTTGGACTGTTCCTACTCCATTTCTTTCTTTCTTTTAAATCCTCACTCAAGGGAGGGGGAAAGAGAACAGGAAGGGGAGAGAGAGAGAGAGAGAGAGAGAGAGGGAGAGAGAGAAAACATTGATGTGAGAGAGACACAGTGACTGGTTGCCTCCTGCACGACCCCAATGAGGGCTGGGACTGAACCACAACTGAGGTATATGCCCTTGACCAGAATCAAACCCACAACTCTTTGGCCTATGGGCTGATGCTCTAACCGCTGAGCAAAACCAGCCAGGGAGAGACTATTTTGAAGCAAATCTTAGAGGTCAAATCATTCCACATAGTGATCCTTTAAAAACATAAATCAGTCCTGGCCGGTGTGCTAAGTGGTTAGAGCATCAGCCCAGGCACTGAAGGGTTGCAGGTATGATTCCTGGGTCAAGGGCAGGTACCTGGATTGCAAGTTTGATCCCCACCTCTGTGTCTCTGTATCTGTATCTCTCTCACCTCTCCCTCCCCTCTCTTTCTCTCTTTCCCCTCCCTCCCTCCCACCTTTCCACTCTCTAAAAATCAATGGAAAAAGCCCTGGCCAGTTTGGCTCAGCGGTTAGAGCATTGGCCTGTGGTCCAGAGAGACAGGGGTTCGGTTCCCGCTAAGGGCACGTACCTCGGTTGCAGTTTGTCCCTGGCCCTGGTTGGGTCATGCGGGTGGCAGCCACTCGATGTATCCCTTTCACATCGATGTTTCTTTTTCTCTCGTCCTCTCTCTCCCTCCCACTCTATCTCAACAAAAAATGGAAAAAAATATCCTTGGATGAGGATAAAAAAAAAAAATCAATGGAAAAAAATATCCCCAAGTGAGGATTAACAAACAAACAAAACTCCCCCCAAACATAAATCAAATCATGTCACTTGTCTGCTCAAAACCTGCCAATGCACCCCCCTGCCCCGGGTTAAACTGAGAATAAAACCAAAAGATCTCATATGAGCCCTGAGTCTTACACCAGGGGCCTACAAACTATGGCTCAGACACCAAATGCAGCCAGCTGCCTGTTTTTGTGTGGCCCATGAGCTAAGGATGGTAGCGAAGGATGGTTTTCACATTTTTAAAAGGTGGAAAAAAATCAAAAGAAAAATAGTATTTCATGACTCATGAAATAATATAAAATTTTAGACCACAAATAAAATTTTATTGGAACACAGCCATGTTCATTTGCTTAAGTAGTGTCTATGGCTGCCTTTGTGGCAGAGTTGAGTAGTTGTGATAGACTGTATGGCCTGCAAAGCCTAAAGTATTCACTATCTGACCATGTATAGAAAAATTGGAGACTGGGAAAAAAAGGGAGACATCTGTAATACTTTCAACAATAAAAACTAACACACAAAAAACAAAAACAAAAAGGGAGAAAAAAATTGCCAACTCCTGCCCCAACCAATCAAGTCCCCATGTAATCTCTCTGGTCCTCTTTTCCTGCACACCATCCCAGTCTCATTGGCTTCTTTCCTGTTGCTCAAACTGGCTAGACACATTCCTACCTCAGGGGCTTTTTTATTGGCTGATCCCTCTGCCTGGAACATTAAAAAAAATTTTTTTCCCCTTTACTAATTTTAGAGAGGAAGGGTGAGGGAGAGAGAGATAGAAACATCAATGAGAGAGAATACTGATTGGTTGCCTCCTGCATGCCCCCCACTGGGAATAGAACTGGTAACCTCTTGGTGCATGGGTTGATGCTCAACTACTGAGCCACACAAGTTGGGCTCTGCCTGGAACATTTTTAGCCCAAATATCTGCATCATTTTCTCTCACCTTCAAGTCTTTCCTCAGATGTCACCTCTACGAGTCCTATTCTAACCACTCTAAACTTGCAACACATGCCCCTTGTCCCACACTCCCATCTGCTTATGATAGTCCATATATTTCCTTTCCATAGCACTTATCTTCTAATGTGCTGTTTAATATCCATGGCATATTATCTGTTTCCTCAACTAAAATGTAAATTCTATGGTACAAGGATCTTTGTTGGTTCACTGATAAATCCACAGTGCCTGGAATACAATTAGGCACTTAAATATTTGTTGAATAAATTTAATTCCTTATAATAAAAAGTTTGAGAGTCTTAATTTGGTAAGACCTTTAAAAAATGCAGAATTTGAGCTCTAAGTAATAAAAATAAGAGCCATTGCCCTGCAAATGAAAAACTTACTCCAGGATGTTTCACCTTTCCATATATTTATCTTTTGTCTATCCATCAATCTAATATTTGTTGTCTGTTTGCCATGTCATGGGTGTGGGGGCTCTAAGGATAAAATAGTCTGAGCTTACAGTCTATTAGGGAAGATAAAACTCCTAAACAAATAACTATAACAGAGGACAGAATATGGTAATGTGGGGCTATAATGAAAACTAGGGTCATGCCCAGCTTGTATAGCTCAGTTGGTTGGGTGTCATCCCACATATCAAGAAATTGCTGGTTTGGCCCTGGCCAGTTTGGCTCAGCGGTTAGAGCGTCGGCCTGCGGTCCGGAGAGACCCGGGTTCGGTTCCCGCTAAGGGCACGTACTTCGGTTGCAGTTTGTCCCCGGCCCTGGTTGGTCGTGCGGGTGGCAGCCACTCGATGTGTCCCTTCACGTCGATGTTTCTCACTCTCTCTCCCTCCCATTCTATCTGTACAAAATATGGAAAAATATCCTCGGGTGAGGATAAAAAAAAAAAAAAAGAAATTGCTGGTTTGATTTCAAGTTAGGACACATGCCTGGGTTGCAGGCTTGATCCCCAGTAGGGGGAGTGCAGGAGGCAGCCGATGCATGTTTCTCTCTCTTTCTCCGGCTCTCTCTAAAAATCAGTAAAAACATAAAAGCTTAAAAAAATCAAAATAAGGGGAAAATGCAGATATTGCAATAAGAAAAATAAGTTAATCAATGGATATAAATTCAATGTGTTATTACAAAATGACTAAATAATAATTATGAAAAATATTTGATATTTTTAGTGGGGAAAATGCATGTTACAAATTAATCTATGATACAATATATTTATTCAATAAACAATAATTGAGCACTGACAATGGGGAGGCACTCTCCTTCGTACTAGGGGAAATTCACAGAAGAATGATGTACAATCTTGACCTCAAGGGACTCATATGGGGAGCAACCAGGAGAGAACTTTGTGCAGTAATTAAAATAAATGCTATCAGTAGGAAAGTTTTAAAAAAAAAAGCAAAATGAAATATCTAGTTCTGACAGATGTAAAAAACAAATTTAAAAAATTAGCCCTGGCCGGTTTGGCTCAGCGGTTAGAGCGTCGGCCTGTGGTCTGGAGAGACCCGGGTTCGGTTCCCGCTAAGGGCACGTACTTCAGTTGCAGTTTGTCCCCGGCCCTGGTTGGTCGTGCGGGTGGCAGCCACTCAATGTGTCCCTTCACGTTGATGTCTCTCTCTCTCTCTCTCTCTCTTCCTCTCTTTCCCTCCCACTCTATCTGTACAAAAAATGGAAAAATATCCTCGGGTGAGGATAAAAAACAAACAAAAAATTAAAAGGGCCTTTGGGATCCAGATTATGTTTGTTAAATACCATTTCCCAGTAAAAGAACCAGCATTACTTGGAGGAGTGGCTGATCCCAGATCTGGAGCAAGAAATCTACAAGATGAGCCAGACTATAGAAACCTCATGAAATACCTAGAGTCACTGTCCCTAAGCTATGATATCATTTAGCTCCTTTTCATGAAGAATATTGGCAGGCAAATCTGACTCCAATCAGCCTGTAGCTTCGATGCAGGAGGTCTGTGGAGCAGAAGGGTCAATCCTTCTGCCTTTGCTGGAGATAACTGGCTTCTCCCATTCCCATCGAGCACCCCCTAAATGCTGCTATTAGGTGTACCAGCTACTACTTTTACTTCAAGCAGCTGAATTCCTGTGTTCTAGATGTCTCAGAAAACTCTACTTCTACTAACTACAATATGCAAGTGTGGCTTTGAGAATGACTTTCAAACCTATCCACCAGAATTTATCCATTCAGAGACATCTTTCCCTACCAAAATCAGTTGCACTTAGTCCAGCAACAGGGAAACCAAGTCTATCCATAGTCAGTAGGTGAGCTAAACAAGAACATGGGCCTGGTTTGGCTTATTTCCACCCAGAGTGGTGTCATTTAGCTTCAGAACTCACCTTATTCTTCAAATCTGACAACAAAGGATGGAAATTAACTACCACTACGGACACCACAAAGAGTAAGCTGAAGAGTTCAGAGGCAACATGCAAAAAAAAAAAAGTTTCGGAAATGGTCTGTACAATGGCAGAGTCCCTGGGAGTGAGTGGGAGACCTCCTGAGTAACCTTTCAGTTAACAGGATGCTCTCACTGGGAGGGTGGGTCTGGCCAATTTGGTGTTAGCCCACTCTACCACTTCTCCTGGGGACTTGACTTACCTGAATGCAAGCTCCTGTCTTCACCTTGCAAAGGTAGCAGACTAAGGCCCATCGACTGGGTGGGATGTGTGAGATCTTCGTGACTGGTTCCATTCTTTCAGGGCAGCCAATGCTGACCTACAAATAAAATACCACCATAATGCACAGACACCAAGGCATTTCCAAAGTATCTTTCACAAACCATAAATGATGTTACATGAAACTCAGAACATCAAAACAATGAGGTGAGCTAGGTTACTATGGAACCAAGAATAAATGAAACTTGTCTCTAGCCACTGCTCAGACCTTCAGTCATTTCCAGTAATGCGAATGATTCACATAGAAGATGAAAAGGCACGAGTGAAGTCTAGGCAGGGGTTGAGGAAAGAGGATGTGAGTGGGATGTCCAAACAGGTTAATAAAAAGGGCAGCCATGAGAAGCAAAGAAAAGTTATGTCTGGAAGCCCCTTTTAATCAACTTAGTGTACACGTAACAAATCAGGAAATATCAGAAATGGAAAAACCAGATTAAACGAGGGATGGTGTTATGAATAAAGGTCTTGAATGTTGACCTCACAGGCCTGGATGAGTTCTTACCTCTGGAATCCACAGTGCACAGCTAACATGAGCCCATTTAGTTCCTGTCTTGGTGGTCTTCATGGCTCCACCTTTCTTTGGACATAACACACACTGTGGATGAATGCCCAGGACACAGGATCGACATAGCCAGCTGCCTTTTGGGACCTTAAGGATGCCATAGCAGGCCTGGAGACAGAAGAAGGGAGAATGGTTTAGTATCTTCTCACCAGGGTCTATGTCTGCTTTCTGGTACAGAGTACCCTCCACCTTTAGGAAAAAGAGGCAAATAAGGCCAAACAAGCTTATATCCAGGATTTAGTAATTTTAAAATACTCAGAAAAAAAGTCAACTTCTAGCATCTGTTCTAAGATTAGCATGCTGTCTAAGAGAACTGACTTTTAAGGACAACAGAATAAGACTACTAGGAAATACATGCAAAGGTTAACCCAACTGTTATCTGAGTTTGGGAATTACTTAATTTTTCTTTTTTGCCTCCAATATCTAAAGCTTCTTCAATGATTATTATAATTAGTCATATACTTATTGAATAACTTCTACATGTTATGCAGTATTGTGATAAAGAAGAAAGTATTAAAAAATAAATACAATGAAAGTTCTGAAGAGCAAATGAGCTGATGTTTAAAGAGCCTAACAGTGCCTGGTGCATAAAAAACTCAGCAAACTATAGCAATTACTTGTTTGGGTTGAAGAAAAAGGGCCTTGTGAATAAATCCTGAATGGAATATAATAACAGACTAATCACTGTACTCCACAATGAGTTCTAGAAGCTGCTTCAAATCCTTTATATAATGAAGTTGGACAATTAAAGAGATGAATTACTAGGGGGTGGAGGGAGATTAGTTTGGAAATTCTAGATTTACCTTTCACTACTTCTAATTTTGCCCATCCTTCCCCACTTACTGTTCTACTCTCACCATTAGAGACCAAACCTGGAGGCCACCTGGCTTCCCATGTGGTCTGGCACACCCTCCACCACTGATTGATTCACCATGGTAGCTTCAAAATCTGTGCCTGACCCAGGAGGTTCACCCACAGCTCAGATTCAAGTTACAACAGTTACCATGATGTCACTCCGCCCCAAATCGGTCCCTTTTCCAGACTCTCTATCCATATCACCACCATGCTTCCCAGCATCCAGATCCAAATTCTTGGACTCATATTATCCACTTTCCTTCATCTATTGTCCCTGGGGCTTGCTGGGGCTCCCTAGAGAGTGACCCCTAGACTCTGACTTTACTTTCCATCCCACAATTGCTCCAAGTCCTCATCATATCATGCATGCCCAGATTGATTTATTTCTGAATTCTCTTCCTCCCACCCCTCACACCTTCAATCCTTCTTCTATTTGTCTGTCATATTCTTCTTATTAAAACAATGATTTCATACCACTGCATAGCAACAGACCCTCTAGAAATTCCTTCTGCTCTTACCTTCACTCCCATCTAAACCAGGGGTGGGCAAACTACTTGAGGCTTGTTTTGTAAGGCCAACAAGCTGAGAGTAGTTTTCATATTTTAAAAGGGATGTTAAAAAATACGTAACAGGGACTGTATGTGGCTTTCAAAGTATAAAATATTTACTATCGTGGCCCTTCAAAGAAAATGTTTTCTGGCCTCTGATCTAAAGCCTGCTGCTCCTCACTTCACTTCTCAGGTCACTGTAGCCCCTTGTGTTTCCTTCACTTCTTGATCCCTGCCCTCTACTGAGAGTAGTTTCCCTCACCAGGCACGTAGTCTGCATCATGTAGTCTTCTCTACTTAAGCTGTTATGTTTCATCTCTGAGATTTTAAGGTCACTGGAGGTAGGTCCTTTATCATCAATTTACCTGGAATGCTCTCTATGCAAAGCTTGAGTCAGTGGTTCGGTAGAACAAATTAATTTAGCTCAAGAATTGAAGCTGGACTCCAACCAGGCTGCTCTCACCACAGCAGGGCATCTCATTCATTCATTCATTCATTCATTCATTCATTCATTCATTCATTCAATTCCATTCCTCACCCGAGGACATTTTTGCATTTATCTTCAGATAGAGCGGGAGGGAGAGAAACATCGATGCAACAGAGACACATTGAATGGTTGCCACCCACACAACCCCAATCGGGGCAGGTACAAACTGCAACCAAGGTATGTGCCCCTAGTGGGAACTAAACCCGAGTCTCTCTAGTCCACAGGCCAATGCTCCAATGGCTGAGCCAAACCGGCCAGGGCCAGGGCATCGTTTTATAGGGTTCTTAACTTTCAAAGCTTTTCTTTTTCTGAGGTCCAGAAAGATTGCTAGGAAATGAAAGCAAGCTTCCCTCCTTAACCAGAGCCTCTTCCAGACCAGGAGAAGAAAAACTAATGGCTGGTTCTAAGAATACCCTTTATCCTCCCAGCTATTCTATTGGGTAGAAAATTGTTTACTGAGCCTTGTATATACTTACTCACAGTCATAGATCACAGAAGCTTTTATTACATAGCAGTGGTTCTCAACGTTTCCTAGACCATAAACAATGAAGGCTGTGGACTCTCTTGAGAAAACTGCACATGTACATGAACATATGCTTTGCATATTATTTCAGGGGCATAAACTCAGTGCCAAACATTATATACATGACAAATATAAAAACTATTAGCATGTACCTTCAGGCAAATTAATTTAGGTCTCTGTTTGAGTGTTCAATACCTGGGCTGAGAAGCAGACAGTGGAACATATAAAGGGACTTGGAATGATCTCCATTTTCATATTTTTAAATGAAAAAATGTTAGTTCACTGTTAAAATCTGAAGTCTATTGACGTAAACCTCTCTTCTAAAGTACTGACCATAAGCACATTATAGATACAAAAGAACAAACATTTTAAATAATATTGTAGCAGTAAAGAAGCAAAATTATATTCACTAAAAACAGATATCAACATATTTCCTGATTCTGTTAAGGACTAAACCAAATTCTCCAAATTATTTGAAGTCACTTTCAGTCAACAGAGGGAGCTCTAACCTAAGTAGCTCTTTAGAACTCAAGTGAATAGCCTCACTTCAGACGACCCCCCCCCCCCACACTTTTTAATGAAACTTCATGTAGCATAAGATCCAGAGTTAATACATACCAGCTTACATTCTGTAAGGCCTGGTCAGGTGTTACTGTCATCATTTTCTACATGATAAAAGGGCATCATTTATAGTCATTACTGGATATGTTTTCAAAACAAACAAAATACCCTTGAGGAGAATTATTATGCTACATTTCATTGTTAGTCAAAGAGCCTGAAAATAATTCTTTAATATTCTGTCCCAATTGTGAATGACAAATACAGAAAATATATACAAGATGACCTTTGCACTATTCCCTTCAAACTTACTACAGATCCACAGTCATTTATCTGAAAACCCTAGGGTGGGAAACATTAGTAAATTCAAGACTGCTCAGATCTTAGGAAAGCAATATAGTACATACATGGTATATTACCTAACATTCCAATGGGACCAGGGTCAGTACCATATAACCAAATACATTAACATCTCTCTAAAAATAAATGACTACACAAAATGGGATAAAAACTATAAATAGCCTCATATTGGGTGACTTATACTATTGCCCCTAAATCAGTTTTGGTGCCAAACTTAGCAAAAATTTGAAGTTTTCAGAGCTTTAAAATTTTGGCATTGCAGAGGTGACTGTGGACTTGCATGGTCAGATACTTAAGTTCATACTTAAATGGTAAAGATTTTCTCTCTAAGGGTGTAATATAACTAACAATAAATGGTAAAGATAAAATTTTGAAATCCAGTCTTTCAAAGGACACAAGTAAAATGAAGAAAAAGACCCAATTGGTCACAGAATAATTTTGAGTACCTTCTAACACAGAAGGTTAGGTTAGGTGGCCCAGGTAATTAAAAATAAAGTCTTAAGCCCTGGTTTCTATCACCTGTTATATAATCATTTTAGTCATTTTGTAGCCAGAATTATCTAAAATACAAATCCTCTCTTTCAGGGTTGACAGGATAAAACTGAAGCTCCTTAGTTTGTGAGAGAAGGCCCTTCACATGTGTCCCTTGTATCCTTTTCTAAAGTTACTCTCCATACCTTTCCTGCTCCACCCACCACTCTGCGCAATTCTGAAATGCTCAGAGTTGCCTCCAGCATGCTTTGCCCACTCTTACTATCCTGTCTGAACATGTTTTCTCTCTGCCTGAACACGTGCTGCTGTTTTATCTGGCATCTCCTTTTGGCTATTCAGATTAAGATTGAATTGCCACCACCTGGAAGTTGTCCCTGACTCCCATCTGTCCCATGTACTTCCATAGCAGCACAGACTTCTGTCTACAAAATCACTTGACATACTATGTTACATTAAATGGGCAGTTTCCTTGTAGTCCCTACACCAGACTCTGATTTCCCTGGGGGCAAAGACCATGTCTGTCTCTTCACCATTGTGTCTTCAGTATGCAGCACAGTACTGGTACATGAATGGTGCTATATACCTATTTGCTAGATAAATTAATGAAATTAATGAAACACACAATAGGTTCATAAGAGTGAAAAATCACTTAGGGTAGGGGAGTTCAAGAAAGAATTTGAGCTAGATCTTGGAAGATATGTAGATTTTTGACAGCTGAAAGTGGGTATGGCTGAAACATGGAGACAGGAAATAAGGTGACTAAAGGGAGTACCTTATTTCGCTGGAGCACAGGGCTTGTGAGGGAAGGAAAGGAAAAAGCTGAAAAAAATGTTATCATCATCATTAATTAAAAAGGCAGTGTAGTAGAAAGAATGACAAATAACTAGCTGTAAGAGCTTGGGTAAAGTCACTTCCTTCTCCTAGTATTACCTATAAAATTGAGGAGTGGGACATTCTTTTATAGTCCTCAGATTCTATGATCTTTAAAAGTGGAGTGGACCTAGATTCCTGGGAGTGGTATATGTGGGAGATGGGGAAGGTCTCTGGATGCCAGGATAAGGAGTCTGGATTTCCATCTGTAGGAAGTGTAAACTCACCAAGGTTACTAACCATGGGTGTAGCCTGATGATATAGTAGGGATTTGAAGGCAGAGGAGAAACTCCAAGGCAGGCAGCAAGAAGACTCCCCAGGGGACTGTAAAAGTATCTAACAAGGCAATTTCAATGGCATGGGCATGAAGCAACATTAATAAAAACCTGGGTTTAAACTCCTGGGGTAAATTTAGTAAGTTACCTTGAGGATCATAATAAGTATTGTTTCTAAAGGAATTACTGAAGAACAGTCAGACCAAATCTTTATTTCCCCTCCTTGAATGCAAGCTGCTACCCAGATATGGGTGCTGGAAATCATCACTGAGCTTCAGCAAGGCTGATCGTGGGGAGGTGGCGGTCTCCACTCTCACTAACCTGGTGTACACAGATGTTACACTTATCACAGAACACCATATCATTCCCTTCTTCACTGTCTGGAGACCGGCACACATCACAGATCACATCTTCATCATACTCTATGCCTAGCCCTTCCTCTGTCTCAATAGCATGGTTCATATTTTCATGGCATTGGCGTTCCAGGACTTCTACCGTTTTTTCCATAAGATTCTCATCAACTGGCTCACAACCTGCACAGAAATACAAACAATCAATCAATCCGTCAGTCAGCTGTCATTCCCAAATAATCTACTGTGAGCCTGGTGCAGGGGTGAGGAGATTTCAAAGCATCATTTACTAGAGCTACTCTAATATTTACCTATCATGACATATTAGTGTTTGACACACGAAGAAGAAATATATTTCACCATATTCCTTATTAAATATATTACTGACCCTTTTAATTTTCTTTCTAAATCCTAGCCAGTTTCTTCCTAAATCTGTGTTTTCTCTTATTTCCAGTGAGAGAGGACTTTCACTGAGCTTTGTAATTTTCAACACTTTAACTTATAGCATACTAAAGTAATTAGAATCACATAACTATTTGGATATAAATAATAATTCTGTATTAACAAATTAGTCCCAATGAGCATATCTAATGGTTAAACGACATTTTCATACAAAAAGGTATTAAGTCATAAAAGAAAACCCTACGTACTGTATATGTGATTATATATGAAATATTTTGTTTTTCAGACCTGACTTTTAAGAAATCCAATAATATTTTCTAATGGTAAACTCTAATATGAAATAAACCTATCAGCATTTACAAAGGTCTAACTGCAAATTCTGATGTTACTTTTTTTGGCCTCTTGATTCCATTTCCTTCTGTACTTTTAATTTTTCTTAGTCTTCCATACTTAATAACCCAACATAAAAGATTCATATGGTGGATACTGATAAAAACCAAACATTTTTCTGCTTGGGGGGTGGGGGACTAATGATTTTGTGAGAGTCCATTTATATTTATTCTAACAGCTTGTAAACTCAGAAATAATTCTCAAAATGATCCAAAACAAATTTACCCAAATATTGTACTCCTCCCCATCCCTAGGTTTAATTTTTTGTAATATAAAATATCTTAAGGAACTCTGAATTTCCACATAAATCACCTTTTTAATGTTGTAACTACTTATAAAATAAAAAAAACTACCTAGGTAGTACATTTCATTTTTTTCAGCCAAGACAAATTATACATTCCCCCCACCCCCCGGGAGTGAAGGAGTTACAGTGTCTGGTTATAAGAGTACTTGAATTCAAATTCCAACTTGACCTCGTATTGGTTATGTAAACTTTGACAAGCTATTTATCCTCTTTAGGGCTTAGTTTCTTATCTGTAATATAAAGATAATACCAAACTCACTGATTTCTTGTGAGGCTGAGATGAGGTAATATTCATACACTGCTTAGTATAAGTGCCTGGTATGTAGTAAGCACTCAATTTTTAAAATTCCGTAATATGAGTAAAAAAGTACTTAATTTAATGTTGTTTTTAAAAGTTTACTTTAAGCTCTTAGAAGTCTCACTACAGTATCATTCACCCGAAAGGAATGCTTGAGATAAGGCAATCCTCTTTTAAAACTCATCCAAGCCTAAATGCAATGTGGTGTCCTGGATGGGATCCTGGAACAGAAAAAGGTCATTAGTGGGAAAAAAAAAAAAACACGCAAAAACGGATGGAATCTCCACAAAGCTTGGAATGTAGTTAGTAGTAATGTACCTGTGTTAGTTTTTTAGGCTTTGACAAATATACTATGGGATAAAGTGAGATGTTAACATTAGGGAAAACTGAAACTGTGTGAGGGGTATACGGTAATTGTATTAAATGTACAAGTTTTCTGTAAATCTAAAATTATTCCTAAATAAAAAAGTTCATTTAAAAAAAGTCATCCAAAGGGAATTAACTGCAAAATACCAAAGGGACCTTGCTATAAGGCGGTGTCAGGTCAAAGGCAGCACTGTAATGACTGTAATGTATATGGATGTTATATGGTCCATAAACACCGCACATCGAGCTACCAATCCACTTGGCTACATCCCATACTTAGATTTTCCCTCTCTGTCAGTCTTTTATTCTCCTTTCTCTGTGGTCACTACCCTAAATTAACCCCTCTTCCTCTCAGAAGGCAGAGTAAGAAAAGACATAAAACAAAAAGTTTTAAGAAGGAATATGTATGGTTACTGGCAGAATAAGTACTACCATTATGCCAAACTGGGTTTAATTTTTTAAAAATTATTTTTATTAATTTATTTTTGTTACAGACGTTTCTCCTTTTCCCCCTATTGACACCCTCCTCCCCATCCCTAGGTTTAATTTTTTATTCACATGCATTCAGATACCAATCTCAAAAAAGAAAGAAAAAAAAGAGGAGGGAAGGAAGAAAAGGAAAACCACTGATTCTTCTTGTACTAATGATAAATACGATTCAAACAAAAATGAAATCAAATGTTATCCTTCACCGTATCTCATATGGAGAATTTTTTTGTTTTTTGTTTTTATATGGAGAATTAAAAACCACCCACAGTTCCACAGGACCATTTGGACCTAAACACTGCTCAGATTGAAGACAAGTCAAAAAGAGTTGTGTATAAGTATAAAGTGAGTTTCCTTGGAGCCTAGGATTTTCCAGCATTACCGGTATGGTGCATACATTCTCTTTAAAATTATTTTTATGCTTGCTTCCAAGTTTTGTGTTTGTTTTTGCTTCATTTTTATTTTTGAAAACTGCATGACAACCCTAGAACTCACCGGAGGTAGCTAACGACTGCTTTGGGGATGTTTTGCCCTAGGCTTGTCATTCTTATTCTGAGGTACAAATGTACAAGTCTTGTATTAAGGTGTCCTAGTCACATCAAACTGTAAGTTGTAGTGGTGCTAATGCTAAAGTTGGGCTTCTCTCCATCAGGAGGAGATTGTAGAGGGGTCACTACCCTTAGCCCCATTCACTCATCTGAGTGCTATCCAGGGCTGAGTGAGGAACCAGTCTCAGATTCCTTCTCAACTAGAAATCCAATCAGCCATTCTCACTCTTACTCAGAACTGGGAAACAGTCTCGTGACATGCCACCTCTGATCTGTGCTCTTCACCAAGGGAAGAAAAGGACAGATTTAAATGTTATTGCTCTATTTCAATATATGTATGTATTTCAAGATATGCCTCATTAAGATGAAATCAAAGAGAAAAACAAAAAGGCCAGAAAAGAAAGGAAGCTACGAGATGAAAGCAAATTAAATGGTCCTGACACTTGAAAAAAGAATTCCATGTCGAGTCAAAGAACTACTTACTTGTGAGAAAAGAACTTACCCATTTCTACAAGGTCTTCATTAAGTGCCTGGAGCCAGAAGATGTCCATGTCATCTAGGTCATAGCGGCACACAGATGCTGCCTGCTCCTTGATGTTGACATAGCCAGGCTCTGTGGTCTCTGGGAGAGAGCACTGGATATACTTCCGGGGGCGGATAAACAGAACGTCCTTTATCTTATCAGCTACAATCCTAGAAAAGCAAAAGAAAGACACTAATAACCAGCAACAAATGACAGATTGCAGGCATAGACTGGATAGGCACAACGGCACTCAGGCTATACAGTGGAGTTGAATGCTCTCCCTTTCTACTCCTTGGAAATCTCTTGTTCTGCCAACTAGGAGGTATGACAGATCCTTTTCTAGAAAGCAAATGGTTCTACAAATTCAGTTTCATCATTTCTGAAAACGGACTGCTGATGAAATGCTTCATTTACCCTCATGGTTCCTAGGTCCCTAGTACCCTTCATTGTAATAAAATGTTGCACTGTGCGTTCTTGGTGCAATGGCCACCAAATTTATTTAGAAGGGGAAACCAGGGAAGGGGTGATAGCTGCACAAAGGCACAGCCAGATTCCATACCAAAGATATATTTCAGATTCTTTTCTGCCATGGAGGCAATAATGGATGGTGGTAAAGAGTGTAGCCTTCAGAGTCACACAATCCTGTTTTTTTTCTGCCACTCACTTGTATGGCAATCTTAGGCAATTACTTAATTTCTATATGGTTCAGTTTTCTTAGCAAAAAAATAAGGGTCATAATCATAAATTATTTTATATCAAACTTTTAGGGCTATTACGGTGATTATATGAAATAAAATATATAAAGTGCTTAGTATAGTGTATAGTAAAAACATAAAAGTTCAATGTCATTGTTCACCACCTCAAGTCAAGTCTCCTGCCATCACCATTTATCCCCCCATACCCTCTTCTACCTTCCCCCATCTCCCTTTCCCTCTGGTAATCACCATGCTGTTGTCTGTGTCTATGAATTTTTTTTAAATCCCTTTACCTTTTTCACCCAGCCCCCCACCCCCCTCCCCTATAACAGTTGTCAGTCTGTTTCCTATCTATGAGTCTGTTTCTATTTTGTTTGTTGGTTTATTTTGTTCATTAGATACCACATATGAATGAAATCATATGGTACTTCTCTTTCTCTGGCTTATTTCAGTTAGTATAATGCTCTCCAGATGATGTATTATAGAACTGTACACCTGAAACCTATAATTTTATTAACCAATGTCATTCTAATAAATTCAATAAAAATAATGTCATTGTTATTGCTGTTATATTTCCTATCTTCACTATTTATGTAGACAAGTTAAAGCCAAGAGGTCACAGACTTACACAAACTTAAGGCGTTTCCCAACCATAAATGACAGTGATCATAAATCTGAGCCAGGGCTACATGATGGGTATAAAGATTCCTGTTCTTCCATCAACTTCTCCAGTAGGCTGGAGCAAATCTGTATTACCCCTCACCTTTTCTGACACTTAAGAGCCCAAGGCAAGGAAATCAAGTAAGGAAAAAAATAGAAGTTTCTCATACAAATGACCAATTCTACAACTGATGTTTTAGGTGCTATGTGAAACATCAGAAAATACAACCAAAAGAAAATCTGTATTATTATTCTCTGGCAATTTTAAAGAACAGGGTGAGGCCATCGAAAAAAAGAGAGAAATAAATAAATAAATAAGTATCAATCATTATAAAATAAAAATTGTTTTTTCTAGAAGGCTTCTGGAGCCCGTTTCTTTACTTTAGAGTTTATACACACACACACATATATATGGATCCATAAACATAAATGTATTCATAGGAACACATAAACACATATAAATATATATAGGCCAAGTCCACTCTGTAAATATGGAGTAAATGTTTCCTCCTAAGCATTCTTCCAAAAGTTTATGATTTCAAATAATATATGTTGAATAAAGTTAGTAACTATATACATATGCACATATTAATTTTTCTACCATATGGAGTTATTAAAGCCAAAGGGAACAAATATTTGAAGGAAAAAAGCAGAACCATAAAATATTAATTGAAGCTAACAATTTGGGAACTGCTATTAGAGGCCTGCTTCTAACTGAAAAGGACAAGACATGTATGTGAATTCTCCAGAGATTATGAGATTTTTTGATGCATGGCACATAAGATAATTATAGAATATATAATTTTTCAAGATTCATCTTTTTCTAAAAGGAAGAATATTTGATAACCATTCATTTCAACAGTCTCACATTTTATGTGCAACAAGGTAGACTATAAGTGTTTTATTATTTTTTTAAATCCTCGTCCAAGGACATTTTTGCATTTATCTTCAGATAGAGCAGGAGGGTGAGAGAGAGAGAAAAACATTGATGTGAGAGAGACACATTGACTGGTTGGCACCCACACAACCCCAACTGGGGCTGGGGACAAACTGCAACCGAGGTACGTGTCCTTAGTGGGAACCGAACCCGGGTCTCTCTGGTCCATGGGCAGACGCTCTAACCACTGACCCCAAACTGGCCAGGGCTAGACTATAAGTGTTGTAAAATTAAACTAATATGTTTATTAAGCTTCTGAAGAAAACAAAGGAGAATATCTTTATAACCTTGGGACAGGCAAAGACACTTTAAATAAGACAAAAGACATTAACCGTATAGGAAGAGACAGAAAAACTTATATTTATCAACTATACAGGTGGGGCAAAAGTAAGTTTACCGTTGTTCGTATGGAAAATAATACAATAATTAATAACAACAATGAAAGAATAAACTGTTTCGTGTACTCACAACTGTAAACATACTTTTGCCCCATCCTGTATATAACAAAGTCCTACAAATCAATTAGAAAAAGACAGATAACCCCAATAAAAACTAGGCAAAAAATTTGAATAGACACTTGACAAATAAAGCTATCCAGATGGCAAGAAAACTTTTAAAAGGTTCTCAACCTCATTAGTTATCACAAAAATGCAAACTGAAATCAATCATTATTACCTACCAGAATGGCTAGACTTGAAGACTGACCAAAAATGCACAATACTAAGTGTTCCTAAGGAAGTGGAGCAAACACACCTCTTGTACATTGCTGGTGGGATTGTGAACTGGGACAATCCCAATAGTTCACGTTTTGGTTAACTATTTGGCAGCTGATATTATAGCTGAACATATACATACCCTAAGACCTAGAAAATCCATTCTTAGGAATATACTTAACAAAAAGTACACATATGTCTACCAAAAGATTAAGAAAAATATTCATATTAGCACTTTTCATAATAGCTGAAAATTGGAAGCAATCCAAATATCTATCATGAGCAGATTGGACCAAAAAAAGTGGCATATTCACACAATGGAATATGACACAGAAGTGAAACGTAATGATCTACTGCATGCAATAGCATGGATGAAACTCACAACCAAAACGATGAAACTCACAACCACAATGATGAACAATATGAAGTTCAAAAACTGGCAAAACAATCACCTATGGTGACGGAGTTCTGTTAGTGGGCTGGAACAGAAGGAGGGCTTCTAGGGTATTGGTAATTGTTCTATTTCTTGATCTGGGTGGCAGTTAAATGAGTACATTTAATTCATGAAAATTCATTGGGGTATATAGCTATACTTTGGTTAGTTTTCTGTGTATATATTACACTTCAATGCAAAATTTATAATAATGACAACAAATGATGTTACCTCACTTGTCTCTTCATATATATATTTTCATATGTAACTAAAAAGGTCTGAATCTAAGGACTGAGTATAAGACAATAAAAAGATTATACACTACCCTAGTAACACCAAAAGCAAGGAAACACGTGGGCAAAAGGTAAAGTTAATACACGCAAGGAGAAATTCTTGTATTTATAATGATAGAGGGGAAGGTCTATGAGAATTAGTGAAAAATATTACTTTGGAATTTTATTTATTTATTTATTTATTTATTTATTTATTATTTTTTTATCCTCACCTGAGGACATTTTTCCTTTTTTTGTTCAGATGGAGTGGAAGGGAGAGAGAGGAAGAGAGAGAGAGAGAGAGAGAGAGAGAGAGAGAGAGAGAGAGAGAGAGAGAGAGAGAGAGAGAGAAACATTGATGTGAAAGGGACACATCGAGTGGCTGCCACCTGCACAACCAACCAGGGCCGGGGACAAACTGCAACCGAGGTACGCGCCCTTAGCGGTCTCTCTGGACCGCAGGACGACGTTCTAACCGCTGAGCCAAACCGGCCAGGGCTACTTTGGTATTTTAAAAAAGGAACTTTAATATCAAGTCCATATAACATTGCTATAGCTGGAGGAAATCTCAGGATTATCCCTGGGTGATTTTCTTTTCTGGTCACTATATATTTAATCAGCAAAAGCTCACAAGCCTAGAGGTCTAAGAAATTTTGTTAGAATGATATAGTAAGCATAGTTTTCAATTTGGATGCTTGAGTGTAAATGAATTATTTTAATAACTTTCTGGATGACTGACCTTTTGTGAAAGGACCCACAACTACACCTGCTTAGCCCCACAGGAAGAAAGCCTATCCACTTGCTGCTCCTCAGGATAGGCCAGCTACCTGCTACCTCTAGCCCATGTGAACACTGCTGTGACACAGGAGGCAATAAAAGGAAGCTGCAATCACTCTAATCTGACCTATGGTCTTTTCTGGTGTCTTACACAGTGAGTCCTCAGTGTGGCTTCAGTTGATCTAAGTATTTAGTACTCAGAGACTATGCTTCATTTCCTAATGAGCGAATTGGAATAATTTGTGGACAGCACAGATATTGCACAAATACCAGAATATTATGGCTTTTTAAATTTTTTTTTCTAATCCTCACCCAAGGACATTTTTTCATTTTTTGTTTAAAGTGGGAGGGAGAGAGAGAGAGAAACATGAAAGGGACACAGCAAATGGTCGCCACCCACACAACCCAACCAGGGCCGGGGGGAAAAACTGAAACCAAGGTATGTGCCCTTAGCGGGAACCGAACCAGGGTTTCTCTAGACCACAGGCTGACGCTCTAACCGCTAAGCCAAACCGGCCAGGGCATATTATGGCTTTTAAAAGATGGGAAATAAATGTCTTATATGTTAACAAAATAGGAGCCCCTTGTGGTAATATCTCTAGGAGTAGTTTCCCAAGATGCCTCTTGTTAATCTTACCACTCTGGGATGACTGCTTCTGTACCAGATTTCATGTTTCATCTAT